GTCATTAGCAGCTCTAGTAATATATTTACTGAGAAAAATGGTGACGTGTTCAATACTTATTTTACCCGCTGTATGTATTTGTGTAACGTGTTCTGTGAGCTGAAACAGCTGAGAAAAGACACGAGTGGAGGCTGGCAGTTCTCAGGCTCATGATAAGGAAGGGGGCATCGTGAGCTCAGAGAATATGCTGAGCCATATACTTTTGAGCAGCAGAAGAAGTAACAAAATGTTACAGTTAGCAAGCCAAGTTCAGAGTTTTTGGTACCTGTTTTGTGTCAAGTTTATTCAAGTAAAAAAAAGTTAAGTGCAGCAGAGATCCATTATTTGTTTTCTCTTTTGCCAAAACTGACTTTTAGAATGAAGGATTATAAAAGACCCACATCACAGCTGAGACAAAAGGAGTGGCTTTTTGGTTGTCCTGAAAGAAACTTTTTTCACCCTGCCATTTTTCAACTTGTGACAGCTGTGGACTTAGATGGAATATACAGTATGTGAGTGGTGCATGGACTTCATTAAAGGTAAGACCTAACAACCTTGTTTTAAATGAAATSTGCATCAAATGAGCTGCAGTTTGTGTAAAGAACACTGATGTTGTTCTGTAGGGTTCATATATCTGTAAATCTGATTCTGACGAACTGAGTGCCTCACGGTCCATGAACCTCACCGCACGTCACTGAACAACTGAGATGGATGGACAACAACAATATACACAATTTCATGCAAAATAACAAAAATATCTAGTGTTTAGATTATATAATGAGGAAGAGTCTCTGCTACTTCCACACCAAACGTTTGGTCAAAATGTTTTAAATTGAATGACTTATAGCCATTTTTTGTTTTTAAAGTCATATGGCTATAGCATCCAACATATTGAATTAGTTCATGAGATATTTTGGTAACTGACACACACACCTTTGTTCTTCTATCCTCATGGGGACTTTGCATTGAGCTCCATTCATTTATCAGTCATTTCTATAACCTAATCCTGACCCCTTACCCTAAACCTAACTTCTTCAGTAAATAACTGACCCTAAATTTAACCTAAAACTCTAACCAAACCAGACTCACCAATGGT